TATATATATAGGCTATATTTAAAAAAAAGTTTACTAACTAACTAACCAGTTTTAAGAACCACTGACATGTTTACTAACCAACATCTCCACTAATATATATATGTGTGTGTATATATGTGTGTGTGTGTAATATATATATATATATATATATATATATACACACACACACGACAGAGCAGTCATAGGTGCATAAAAACTGTTAATGATCTAGTCCTGCAGACATACTGAGGTTAATTTAAATGAATAAATACATTAATTAATTAATTAAAAAGTGAATGACTTGAGATCAGTTAGTATTTAAACATGGTAAAAAATGTATCACTAATAATTAGAAAAAGTACAAATTACAGTACAACTGGCTGTAATATCAATAACTTTTATTTCTAGACCTTAATTCCTTTCTTAGTATCGAACCCCTCTTTTGGTTCATAGTATATCTGTGTTTAGGCCTATTTGTTATTAGGCATTACATTTTTTTTCACTGATTGTCTAAATATATTTTTCTGACACCGGGTGGTCTAAGACAGATTTAGTATTGGGACTGTTTTCAGCAGAAAATCAATAGGACTGTCCAGCGCTAGGTTTTTATTTCCAAACTAGGCGGAAGTGGGTGTAAGGCAGCATTCAGGCAATTGTGGGAACCTCATATCCATTGAGGCAGAAGTAATGTACAGCTCTCTCTTTCTTTCTGTTCTCACACTTTCATTCACTGCCATTCACCAAAGGCTCAGTTCAGATAGCAGGAGGCTGACTGGCCTGCAGTGTCTGTGTATGCAAATGAGACAGATGGAACAAAAGTGACACTGAATATCTTTGAGAGATTTAAAGAATGACGGGGTGGAGGGGTGTGGGAACAGCATAAAAAGATTCAACTTGAAAAGTACTAATCCTGATCTTTATATATATATATATATATATATATATATACACACACACACATTTATAAAAATTTCTGCTTTTGACCCCCGCTCTGCACATTTTGTATGTTTCTCTTATTGCTTCAGAGGTTTGTTCCATTTGACCGTAAGTGCCCTGCGAAGTGGACATCACAGGATATTCCGCCATAATTCCAGTTCAAAAGGAGCGTATATGTTCCATTCAAAGAACATTAAAGTGTGTGAGATGTGACTACTATTCAAATTTCATGATTACAGTTAAATAACCCTTCACACTTCTGTAGTAAGTTTGGTCTGTGTGTGAAGATAGTGGTGTTCTTAAGTGCAGTAAACTTCAGCCGATTTCCCGTGTGCAGGGAGTAGAGAGCAGTGAACACTATGTAGGGACCATGTCAATTGGAACAAAGTTAATTTAAGGCGCTCTCTTCTAACAAGCTGGTGATTTGAATCAGGTGCGTTAAAGAGAGACATACAAAATATGCAGAGCGAGTGGTCGCGAGGAGCAGGATTAAGAACTGCTGAGTGTAAATGCTTAAATTATTTATTTTCTTCCAGTTGTTTATTAAATTGTTTACTTATACTGCCATGAAGTAGTTAGAATTATTAGAATAGTTTCGAATCATTTGATAATTTTATATATGGAAAGCAAAAAAATTTAAAGCATTATTTTAAAAAAAATTATTATTTCTTTAATTTTTTTTGTAAAAAAAAAAAAAAAGTAATTGCCCCCACAGTCTGGAAACTATTAAAACAATTATATTTCTGTAAAATGAATGCAGTGTTCCTGTTCCAGTATAAGAACGTCATAGTTAAAGTGAAACATGAAGGTAACAGTGTGGTCATATATTGGTTATCGCATATATTATGTTATATACAAGATACAATTATTTAGGAGAATGTCTGACCATCTGTGTGAGAGCTGAAGTTTAAATGAATGATCCAATGATCCAAAACACCAAATCAAGTCAAAATATTAATGGCTGAAAAAAGTCAAAATTAGGACTTTATTAAGGATCCTATTAAGATGGTGTTGGAGGACCTGAAAGAGCAATTTATGCTTCTTTGATCAAGTGAGCTTGACACTCATCAGTAGCCTATGTGAAAACGTTTTTTGAAAAAAGTGCAGTCCTACTTTTTTTTAGGGGAAGCTGGCATAAGAAGTGTTGAAGAGAGATTAAAAATATACATTAAGTGGCAAAAGAAGGCAAAGAACTTTACCATAGTAAGTGATTCCAAGGTCACTGAGTCAATCTGTCTCATGGGAAGAGCTATAAATATTTGAATGCATCCCATTCCTCAAAGGGGACAGATAAATCTCAGCTTGGAGTGGGCTTGGATGCTGAAGAACATTAAACTGCCGGCTGCATCTATACTCAGTAACTGATTGTATGTCTCCATCTGTGCTCTAAAAGCCAGTATAGACACACAGTAGAATATAAATAACTCTAAAGAGCGTCACATTCCTCCGTTATTGATCTGCCGCTTTTTTCAAGTGCTGGTGTTGACTTTCAGGTCCTCTTATTGATCCACTGGAAATAGATGCCAAAGGAGAGTGCTCTGCTGTCTGCATTTAAGTGGAAGAACTTTGGTCACGTGACAGGAAGTGTGCAGTAGCACAGTGTTTCGAAAACTTGGTGGCACAGCATTGTCTTATAATGTTTGGTTAGACTTTTAGCAAATTTAGAATGATTCAATTAGAATCGTAATGCAATTTTATTCAGTTTGAAAAATGTGTAAACAACAAACAATGTGCAATATATGCAAGCAACAAGCAAACTGATAATTTACAGTAGAGAAACCATTAGTTAATGCATTTCATATGTGTGTACATATATATACAGTATATATATATATATATATATATTATCGTTCAAAGTTAAAATTAATTGAAAATAAATATTTTAATTTTTGTACAATTATCAGCTGTAAGAATCTTTGTTTCAGTGCATCAGACAAGTGTTTTGCACAGTCTGACTTTTGTTGAAGCCTGGAATTAAACCACATCATGTTGGTTCATCTGGCCAGAGCAGAACTGGCCCCCCAACTGGACCTGGTTTTTCTCCATTCTGTCACTGATGGACTTAGGGTTCCTTACCACTGTCACCTTGTCTTGCTTAGTTGGGGACACTTCATTTATGGCAATATTGTCAACTTTATTCCACAGAAACAATTTGAAGAGAACTAAACTGAGCTAGACTATGATGTCACTGAATCAATGATAAACTGACTTTAACTGAAAAATTGACTGTTTACTATTGTCCTCTTTTTAGAGCTGCTCTACAGCAGGATTTTATTTCCACTATTGACACTATTTTCCTGTTTAACACTGTTATGCTGCTTTGACATAATCTGTATTGTATGAAGCGCTATATAAATAAAGGTGACTGAACTTGACTCTGTTTTGTCTCTGTTTCAGGCATGGTGCAAAAGCTGGACCAAAAACTGCCTGTCGCAAATGAGTACCTGTTGTTGTCTGGTGGTGTGCGAGAAGGTGTGGTGGACATGGATCTCAATGAGCTTGGCATCTACAACCGTGGCTCCAACTATGACTTGGCCTTCACCCTGTTGGTTCCTGCACTTAAATTGCACGACCGGAACCAGCCTGTAACGCTGGACATGCGCCACTCAGCACTTGGTCACTCTTGGCTCAGCTTGCGACTTTTTGACGATGGTACCATTAACCGTTGGCGAGACTGCTGCACGCTTACTGATCATCTGAATGGCACCACCAACTACTTCTTCTCACCTACACTGGTAGCCGACTGGTTCCAAGAAGCTGTTGGACTAGTACTGGCAGAGTTACAGCGCAAGCCACAAAGGGGCACCCCGAGGGTGGAGCAAGTTGAGCGTCACAACACGCTGCTCACTATAGTTTTAGGTGTGGGCAGCAGCCGCATGCTTTATGACATTGTTCCTGTGGTGTCTTTTAAAGGCTGGCCGGCAGTTGCTCAAAGCTGGTTGATGGAGAACCACTTCTGGGATGGCAAAATCACAGAGGAGGAGGTTATCAGCGGCTTCTATCTGCTGCCTGCCTGCTCAGCCTCTGGTTGCAGAAAGAACGAGTGGCGTCTCTCTTTTGCCCGCAGCGAGGTTCAATTGAAAAAGTGTATATCACCAGGCCTCATGCAAGCTTACCAGGCGTGCAAGGCAATAGTTATTAAGCTACTAGCCCAACCTACATCTATCAGTCCCTATTACTTACGTTGCATTATGTTGTGGGCTTGTGACCGACTACCTGCAAGCTATTTGTCACAGGAAGACAATGTTGCGCATTTCCTGCTAGGTCTCATAGATGACCTGCAGCACTGCCTTGTCAACAAGACCTGCCCTAACTATTTCATCCCACAGTGTAACATGTTGGAGCACCTGTGTGACGAGACCACTATGTTTCACGCTCGTAAACTAGCGCTGGTACGCTCGGATCCAGCCGAGCACCTGCGATCCATTGTTGAGCTGGCCAAGGCAGCCAACAGACTGACGCAGGAGATGCAGCGTCGTGGGAGTTCCTCAGGACTGCTCTCTCCGCTTGCGGATCCCTCCTCTGCTGATCACCAGCAGTCAGATGACCGGCTGGCCAAGAAGCTACAGCAGTTAGTGACCGAGAATCCAGGGAAGTCTATCTCTGTGTTCATCAACCCTGATGACGTCACACGACCTCACTTCCGTATTGATGACAAGTTCTTCTGAAAACAATGGTCTATTTTCACTTCTCCTCTTCTGTAATGGTTGAACCTGATGGGAACCTGATGCATGACACTGTCTAGAAACTGGAGCTGTGTCCCTATGCCTGTATACATCAGACTGCAGAGGATTTTCTGGGGGAAATGTTCTGCAACAGCTCTATAGCACCTGCCTTACTGAGAGGCAAATCCAAACCACTTGCACCTGCAAAGGGTTAAAGCATAGTGGGTTTCACGGTGACTCTGAGAATAAAAGTCAGGGCAAGTGGGCAATGATTTACATAGTAGAAGAAAATATAGTATATGTCCTCCCGTGGTATGTTAATTTGAACAAAAATCTGATGTAATGAATGATAGATTCAGACATTGTTTTTTTTTGTGTTTTGCATCTGTGCTGACTACACACTTCCGGAACCTGTTTGTGTTTGTGTTATATCCATATAATGCTGTTTTTAAACCTGCGCAGTTAACTTGTCTTATTATTTATTTAGAGAAAATTACAGAAGATAATATCAGAGAAAGCCAACCCTTTTCTATATATAAGGGATTGAAATCATATTCCCTTAAGTGCAATTAAAAAAATGTTCAGTTAGAATGAGAGGTTCTTGTATTGACAAAAATTGTTGTTATAAGAATGCAGAATCGTTTAAAGGGGTGTGGGGTGCTTGACTTGTAGCCCTAAAACTTTCACTGCTATTGGAGATTAAAAGGATGTTGTTGTGATTTTAAATTTTTTTTTTTTTGGAAAATGAATGAATGAAAGTGACAAGCAGCTATCCAATATAAGCCCACATATCACCAATGTTAAGGGTGTCTCTAACAAAATACACAGAGTAGGACAGAGGAACTAGATACTGCTCTAAGATTTTCAGTTCAATGTTCTATTCTTATATGAGAGGTGCAGAGTCATTTCAAATACAAAGGTCAATTTTAATGATCTCTCAAAGACTTTTTTCAGGATCTCTGGGTACATAATACTTTATTAGTACATGTCAGCATTAAATAACATGAAAACGGGTTACAGTGGATGTTGTCTATTTGTGTTGTAGATGAAATCATTTATTATCAGGAACTGGGTGTTGTGGTTATGTGGAAATGTGCAGGCTAGGATATTATGTCACAGAATACGCTGACTCAGTGTGTCTGTGGAGTCCACTGTATTTGCGAACAGCAGAATGAAACAAGCACAGTACAGTGCAGAGAATGTGGCAGTATCCTGTGGTGATAAATGTGAGGCAAAACTATCTTGTTAGGTTTTGGTACTTAACACACTCTTGCATGTAGGACTAATTTCTTTTTCATCTCAAGCCTTTGATGCTAATTCCAAAATGTCATTTTAGAGCTAGTAACAAGAGGCTTTGGCAATTGATAATGCAGTCTAATTCAGTTATTGGAGAGAGAGATTAACTGTAGCTTTCTGAAGCTTGTAAAGCTAGCTGAGTCTGTGTGACTGTGTTCAGCATCAGCATCTCTACTATTAGCAAAACTGTAACTTTAACTGTTTCAAGAACAGTGACTTACCAAATAACTAGAGAGTTGCTACTGAGAGATGTCATGTAGCTTTCAGATGTGAAACTGTTTTATTAGTAAATCAACAGGGCAGCACTGGCAACACATTTCTGTGTATGTTTCTGTGTGTGTCTGTATTGTATGTGTGTGTACGCTTGTATAAGGGAGAGAGCGGGAGAACAAAAGCGCACGTTTCATCAATAATAAAACAATTTTGTGGGATAAACATTTTCATCCTGTTGTGCTTAGGTTATTTTGCTGTTGTAGGCTGTAAGGACCTTTGAAATAACTGAAATAATTTGGCAAAGTGATATGGAAACTGCCTGGAACTATTTTAGCTGTGCATTTGCTGAAGAATAATTACACACCTTAGCAAGTTTGTCAACCAATCTGAGTGAACCATTGTAAACATAGGAATACTGAACATGCAGTGGAAATAATCTTTGATAACCTAGTATCCATTATTTTCTCCATAATCTTAATATCTCCATAATAACAATTTCCCCATAATCAGTTCTTACAAATCTCCAGAAGTTTGTCTGTTCTCTTATTATTTAGCAACAAAGCAAAGTTCATTTTTGCCTTATTACTTGTCTATTTTCAATTGAACTTGGCACTAAATGCACCGCAGATGAATGCAGGGAGCAACGACTCTAGCCTCCAACAACCAGACTGATTTAAAAATGAAAGATAGTTTTGCCTCGCATTTATCACCACAGGATACTGCCACATTCTCTGCACTGTACTGTGGTCGTTTCATTCTGCTGTTCACAGATACAGTGGACTCCACAGACACACTGAGTCAGCGTATTCTATGACATAATATCCTAGCCTGCACCTTTCCACATAACAACAACACCCCAGTTCCTGATAATAAATGATTTAATCTACAACACAAATAGACAACATCCATTGTAACCCGTTTTCATGTTATTTAATGCTGACATGTACTAATAAAGTATTATGTACCCAGAGATCCTGAAAAAAGTCTTTGAGAGGTCATTAAAATTGACCTTTGTAGGCCTATTTGAAATGACTCTGCACCTCTCATATCAGAATAGAACATTGAACTGAAAATCTTAGAGCAGTATCTAGTTCTTTTTTTTTAACAGCAGATGTAACATAAGCTGTTATTCCCGTCCCTGTACACTGCTGATGCTGCCATTCTTCATGTTTTGAGGCTATCAATGAGGCTATTACAGTATTGTGCAGGGTTGTCTGCCATTCTGAATTGATCTGAGAAAGTCTTTTAAATTAAATTTCTGAAGTTGAATTGAAGTTGAAAATAGGATGTAGAGTTGTAATTTGAATGGAAGGAAGTAAAATGGAAGGAATCCATGGATTCAATTGTGAATATTTCTTTATGTCTGGGTATTTGGGGTGGTTATCTATTGATATCAGTTTTATTTTACAGTACAAATAAGCATTAGTCAAATTTACAGGAAACAAATTTTGTGGCCAAAATTGAGTTATGTGACTGAGCTGAATACAAATGCCATCTCAACAACCAACACATGAATTGCCAATTCATAAATTCTGAACTCTGAATATCTTACTTATTCAGAGTTTAGATATTCAGAGTCTGAATATCTTACTTATTCTTATGCTTGGTTATGCCAGTCATACAAGGGAAATATTACCAGAAGTATTGATTGTGCTGTAGCATGTGCAGTGATTATTTATAAGTCTTCTCTCAAACCGCACAAGCAAAGACTTGTGCGGTTTGAGAGAAGTCTTTGTGTGTCCGGGATACAAACTCTCTCATACTCATTCATCAACAGCGCTGTGTAACGGCTGCTCTCTGCTTCTAGACTACAGCGAGGTTCAGCACTCTGTCTCTGCCCTTTCCCAGAAGCATTGACGCATCCCGCAACGGCAACCACAAGAGATCAAGAGGTTCCTGCAAAACACAGCACGACATGGATAAAGGAGATAAAGGTAAGAAACTTAAAACCGTGGAAGTGTTTATTATTATGCTGGGAGAGAGTGAATGCGCTTTAGGGCTGTTTCAGGAAAAGTGGACTGCGGATCTGGTTCGGGAACGGAGCATGATATGATGCTTAATGCAGTATCCGGAATTAAAAAGCTTGGCGAACTGCGAAAGCTCCTGTACATTTGGACATTCTGTTAGGAACGGATCATTGTTAATGTTATATAGTTGGTGTTGAGTAAGGTGATCATATAAAAGATGAACATTAGCGTTAAAAGTGTGTGCCAAGATACAGGCAGCGACTGTCTGCTTCATCCTGTGCAGATGCTGAGCAAGTAAAAATCCTGCAAACATACCACACTGATGTAAGCTGATATATATATATATATATATAATTTTATTTATTTTTTTTCAACTAGAGCTTGTGTGACTTTTTGTGGGAAATTATTTCTGCCAACTAAGGGCTGGGCCAGGTGCTACTATAAAAAGTGCTGGCTGTCCACTTTTAGGGAATGTGTGTGATGTTGCATTTGTGGCACTGAGTCTGCTGATCAGCATATGCGTAACAGCAGAGATTCCAGCAAAAATGAACTTTCTCCATCGCCATGTGAACTGCAATGTCATTTAGTAATTTATGTAAAGACCCGTGTTGGGAAGGTTACTTTGGAAATGTAATAGGTTACAGATTACAAGTTACTCTATTTATGTAATAATAAATGTAATAAGTAGTGTAAGTTTTCAATTACTTTATTAAAGTAATGCAACTGATTACATTTGGTTACTTTTTGATTACTTTTCAAAATTTCTAAAGTGTTTAACTGTTAATCATTATCAAACATGTAAACCAGGCAGGGTTAACACCCAGTAGTACTCAACACTGATTACTGTCAGACTTTCGAAATCCTTTATCAGATTAATTAAGATTATAATACTTTAATTTTAAAGGGGACATCGGATGCAAAATTCACTTTTACATGGTGTTTGCATATAAATGTGTGTTAGCAGTGTGTAAACATAACCACCCTACAATGATACAGATCCATTCACTTCTTTTTTTAATCCCCCAAAAACCTAAACAGTCTCAGTTATCAAGCTGTTTTGATTTTCTGAGCAGTATGACGTCATACTGCTCAGGGCCCACCCATGACCGCTGATGGACTGTCCCGTATGTGCATATCTCCACCCTCAGCCAGTCGTATGCTGTCTGTCATTTTCTCTGCGCTCAAGCAGCTGTAGCGACAACAAAATCTCGTAAGCAATGCAGGCGTTTTGTAGTTGGATATAGAAGAACATCCTGACATCAGAGCCACTGAAGAGCAATGGATTAGTTCTGTTTTTGATGGTAATGCGCCACCGAATACACCTAAATATGTTTATGTCTGCGCAAATCATTTTACTCCAAACTGCTTTCTGAATGAGAGACAATTCAAGGCAGGCTTCGCAAAAAAGTTAAAACTCAAGGATAGATCAGTACCCACTGTTCGTGATCCAGCTGCACCTCCAGAATAATTAAATCTCACACTTTATATTTTTTATGATTACTTGTAAATCGCCTTTGCTCTTCCACGGAAGAGAGGGGTGGGGTGAGCAGCAGCTCATTATCATTTAAAGAGGCATGCACTGAAACAGGTCGCTGTGAACAGAGCTGTTTTTGACAATGTAAATTGAATTTAAATGGAATTTTAACCAAAGTATGTTGCAGACATTTCATGAAGACCCTAAAGAATCATACCAACTTGTGGAAAATGCATTCGATGTCCCCTTTAAAGCACAGCCTCCACAAAATCAGACTTACTTTGAGATCAATCTGAGGTTAATTACAGATTTAAAATCATAACAAGAAATAGTTTAATAGCTATGATACTGTTTTTGAAATTAAATTGTTGTATAGTTATATGTTATAACTAGTATATTTTAGCTGTATTGAGAGCTTTTGTTCTTATTCCTAAGAGAAGTGACTTTGACTGACACGTTGTCAAACAGACACACACAGAAAAGGCTGGGACAGAAATGTGCTGTGTGTAGTCAGAGTGTAAAGGTTTCCACTCTATCTTCTTAGCATCATTAAGCCTGACATCTTTCTGTTGACCTACACATCTTCTTTGTCCATCTTTTTCTCATAAATAAGTGTGCTCAATTCTTTCTATCTTGCTGCTATAATATAGTTTCTCCCTCATCTCTGCAATCCCTTCTGTTTTTCCAGCAACAATGCTAATCAATTTCAATGTACATATTTCATTGTCAAGTCAGTGTTGTACATCATATTTACGATCTATTTATTTGAATGCTAAAGTATTTGTAGAATAATATATTTAAATTTAAAGAAACATCTTTACATGATTAATGTGTGTACAACAGAAGTATCAGAACCTTCAAAAATGCTTTGCTTTACATTTGTTAGGCCTCAGTGTAACAGGACTGTCCTTAAATGTGCTAATAACTCAATTTCTGTTCAAGTTCCGTGTACCTTCGGATAATTCCTTTATTCGTTTTTGTTTTCAAAAGGAAAAACGAATAAACCGTTCGTTTTGTACATATTCCACCATATTCATGAACATAAAATACAAATCTGAGACATATTTTTGGTTTGTTTTCCTCAATATTTCTTTAAATGCATCAAATAAATATACAATAAAACCAAAACGAAAAATAAAGTATTTTTATGAACAAAGTGCGTTTTAGTCCACCGGAAGTTCAGCTGCAGCCTCTGGCGACCAGTGGTGGTATAGCACATTAAGGACATCTTAAGCACAAGACCGCTATCTTTAATGACACATCAGTTTTCAGTGGCGTGTGCCAACCATATGTAAATATGCAGGTAGTAATTTCTGTGCAGTGCAGCAGTATGTACAGTAACTGATAGAATGCACCTATTTACGCGCGCGCGTCAGTGCTCGTGTCAGAGCATGCATCTGACAGCGGGAGAGGTTTAACCATAGCCTCCGGTTAAATTCATAGTGAGAGAAGCTCGTTTTGCACTTTAATGTGAAAAGAATGTGCCATTTTGTTTCCACTGTTCGTAAAAATGTTAAACATAGAAGATAAAACGCTTCTACAACTCTACATACATGATAGTAGGCGTGTTTATAAAAATAAGCAGAGTTAATAAAAACCTGTACTTTTCATTGCACATTACAGGGCTGGACTCTGCTTCGTCCATGGTGAAAGCCGATCCGGCCATTCACAGCGCAAAGTGGTAGTATTTCCTCAGCGACCAGCACGGATCAGCTCCAGGAATGACGAAGC